TGTGTGGAGCAGTGGTCTGTCTTTGTTTGTATTGGGTTGCTAATCCTCAAACCACATACAAAAGCTGCCAGCAGTATTTTTAGGCTTAGTGTATTTGTGCTGCAAAAGGTGCTGTAACTAAGCAGTTAGACTTACCTGGCTGCTGCGATGGAGAACAGAGACAATTTCCAAGTTTAAACTTGTCAGTCAAAGAGATTAAGATTCTGAGTCTCAGAAAAGCAATACCTTTCATTGTACACATTTGTAATACTACCACTCCAAACAGAGGAGACAGGATGTCCATTGCAAACAAAATGTTGCATTCTAAGCTGCAAATTTTGCCGTTGTTTTGCTAAGTGAAAACTCCTGTCCATTTTTAATAAAAGTTGATCCCAGGGCTGAACCTGTATTTGACACTGCAGTAAAAAAATGAAAACCAAAACCTTCTCACCGGTGCAAGCCCTGGCTCAGTGAAATTTAGGGTGGAAGCCTGACAGCAGTAAAGGCCTCTGTAGCCAGACCTATTATTATCATTAAGTTACTTCATCCCCTCTTATCACATATATTAGTTACGGTATCTAGCAGCGTCTTGACACGTGTTCTGGGGGCCGGGAAGGGGTGATTTAATTAGAGTGGCTCTCGGAGCCACTCTAATTAAAGAGCCCACAGCATCTCACGTTTGACGAACTTTAGTTAACCCCCCTCCCACCACCACCATTTTGAAGTGCTGGGACACTGAATATGAGACACAGAAGCTCCTGGAGCACACCAATTAAAATGCTCCAGCAGATTTGATTAATCGAGTCTGTTCCAACGTGCTGTAATTACAACTGTTCCCAAAGACCTCTGCAACATGGAATCCAATGAAAGGGGAGAAAAAAGGGATAGTTCACTTTCAAGAATCAGCCAGATGATCTGACACAAAAACATTACTTGGTTCATTCTTATACAGCACTTTACAACCACAGCTCTTTGCTAACATTAACAATCCTCCAATTTGTTTAAAATAGTATTTTTATTTGATGCTCAACAGGAGCAAATTAAATAACTGTTCAGCCATAAATTAAATCATTGTCTTATGGGCTAGGGACAGACATTCAAAAAGCCTGAGGCTGAATTGATTCAATCTATGCAGGTTAGTCTAACCTGGCTACGCTAAATCACTTGCAACTTCACAGACATCTCAGACATGCAGGCACATGCCTGCAGTGGCTCAGGCTAGAAGCTGGGGGGTGCTAGAGCAGCCCTCCTTTCCTTACACAGCACTGTGCTGAGGCAGGGCCTGGCCAGGCCCCGGCAGGATGCTCTGATTAGCCCAGCATGGAACTGATAACAGTGTTTATCATCCCTAACTCAGTGTTTATCACCACATTAAAAAAACAACAGAGGGATATTACCATCTATCTGTTGATTCAGCACGGACTGTAGCCCACATGTGGTCTGCTAGCTAATACACAGACACCTCTCTGCAAGTCAGAGGGGAAGGGGGAATTCCTGCTTAGCAGGCAGTGGTGGGGGTGGGGGGCATGACAGCATCCCACAGTCTCTGAAGCTGCAACCACGGAGCAAAGAGGTGGGGCCAGCCCTGCTGTGGATCACAGAGCCCCAGCCAAACCAGAGAGCATGCTGGAGGAATCTGGTTAATCTTTAACCAGCAAGGGGTCTGGGAGAGACATTGCATAAACTGGTTTGAGCCAAATCAGTTACGTCTGATACTACATTCAACCAGCTTTATCTCAAACCAGTTTCAACCATTTTCGAACTGGTTTACGTGCACTGAACAGCTGTTCTGTTAGAGATTTAAACAAGTTTCTGATCGCTTAAACGAGTTTATGTGTCATGTCTGTCCCTAGCCATAGGGTTTTTTTCCTTTTACTGTGTAGCATCTGATCAACCTGTGTCCATAAAACACGAGAAACCATTCTTTCATTAAAAAATGAGAGCATGGAAGACACTTTAAAAGAGAGTAACAGAAAGAAGAAAACATAATAACACTGGATTGGAAGGAGTTCCAATTCTTCTTGGGCGATCAAGTCCAGCTCCCTGAGTTCATAGGCAATTGTTTACCAAATTATCATTTCAAACCATCACCCACAATTTCCAGAAACAATATGTGAAAACGTGACACAGGTAACAGCAGGGGACACGAGGGCACTGTCAATCCCTTGCCACAACAACCACAGGAAAGTAGTTAGTTAATATATGATCAATAGATCCTAGGAAAAGAATGCAAGAAAAACAACTGGTAAGAGACTTCATTTAAAAATACTAGTATTACTTTCCGTACTTAGGAAGACTACTTTAATCAGTGCATCAACACTTCTTCTCATTTAATACTAATTCACAATAGCTAAGTATCTCTAGCAAACATCTGCATTTTTTACTAGTTAGGCTTGGACAGGAAGAAGGGTATTTTAATGTCTGGACTAAAACAGACAACCATAAACAACAAAACCAAACAAAAAATAATGAAACCCAGCACAGTTCTGCTGTATGAAACCTGGCATGAATCTTCAGGACAGCAATAGAAGATTCTACTTGCAAACTTTAGGAAAGAACTCTCATTAACACTTAAGGGACACAGTAAAGCAAATGAATAGTAAACAAAGAAAAATAAATTGCAAACGAACCTTTAATAATACATGAAACTGAGTTTTAATCATATTCGCAGGAACACGAGTTATTTGTTTGCTGTGGCATTTTAAAAAACAGTTTTATAATGGCAAATCTGAATCAGATGGATTTTCTCTTCTCCTCTCCCCATGACCTTTCAGTGTGCACTGTGCTCTGATGATTCATGAAATTCAAATATAAACCAGCATTTCCTGAAAAGAGCTTCTGTGTGCTGGGCCTGCCATGCTTTGTCAACCTGCCACCATATGCCATTATGTGTGCCATGCTTCCTGCTGCTTAGAAAAATACAACCAAAAAGCCCACGATTGTAGCCGGAAGCAAAATTTCCACTTAAACAAAGGGAACATTTGGCCTCATGACTGTTTTTAAATACCAGTCACTGAAAAGGCTGATCAGGAACTCTGGTTTTGTGTGTCATAATGCTACACCATTAATATTCAACAAGCCTGATTCAGCAAGGGGCCAGGCTCTTTGAACTCCCAGTGAAGCTTAGCACATGAAGTTTGCATTACTTTCTAGAACTGGGCCCTTATACTTCATTTGAGTACACTGGTTTTTTTGGTTCTTGTCACGGATACTTTTGGTGAAGATCCTGTCAGATTTTAAAATCAACTTCCTAGCCAATGAAGTTCGTAAGTACACTGAGACAGTCATTTCAGAACTAATATGCATGTATATGAGATAGATTAAACAGGAACTCCAGCTTCCTGGTGAATGATCCTCAGGTTTCATTCATCCTTCCTGAATTCCAGTAATGACTACTACCAGCTCTTCTCACAAGCTATGTTGCTGGCCTTAGTTGCACAGTCCTATACTGGGGTTAATTACAGAAAGTCTTAATGCTCACTGTAGTACAGATGGCTACATTTAAGAATCTGGTAGAACTACTAAGACAAATCAAATACCTCCTAATAGTAAACCAGAATTATTTCAACATTTGTGTTTATGGTAATGACATGCATGCTTGTCCTCTATGAAAGAAGCCACTTGACTCTTGTCAAATCAACAGTAAATGGCCAAGATGTTCTAGTTCATTCAAGCTCCATTTGGTGTCAGACAGTGCATGGGGGAAGCAACAGAAATATTATATTACCTATGGCCATGTCTACATGAATATGGACATTTGTTTCCCTGGGAACAGGCAGCAGTGCACCTTGTGCTGCTGCTACTTGTCTCCAGGGAACATCTGTGCCATGCGCCATCTGGCATGCAGCAGGTTATGCCAGGTGGGGTAGGGGAGGCTGTGGCTGGCACTGGGCTGGCCCCAGCAGCCTTATGTGGGGTCCTGGGGGCCTCCTGGTCAAGGTTCCCTCTAAGGTGTGCGTGTGCGCGGCCGCGCACAACTAAAGGTGTGGCCGCGCACAGCCTTTTCAAGGCCGCGCACAGGCTGGAGCCGGGGGCTGGCGTGGACTCTGCCGGCTCCTGGGAAGTGCTCTGCTCCCCTGCATCAGGGCCGGGGAGTGGAGCAGTTACCTGGAGCCGGCAGAGCCTGCGCCAGCCCCCTGCCCCAGCCTCCATCCCTGCCTTGCCTCACCTCAGGGAGCAGCCGATGCCTGCCCTGAGTGAGGCTCTGCCAGCTCCGGGACACTGTTCCACTCCCCCGCATGGCCTCAGGGGGCATGTCCCGCAGTGATGCGGGGGAGTAGAGCACTTCCCCGGAGCCAGCGGAGGCCGCACCAGCCTCTGGCCCCCAGCCTGTCGGCTTCAGCCTCAGCCTCCAGCCCCCAGCCTCTCGGCCCCAGCCCCCAGGCCTCAGCCTCCAGCCCCCTTTGATAAGTGTCCCACGCCGGACCGAGGCAGTGCGCTCACAGACCGAGGTGGCGTGCTCACAGACCGCTACTCCTTAGAGGGAACATTGCTCCTGGTGTTGCAGCAGCGGTGATCCTGCCACTTGGAGCCTGGCTGGTAGCTGGAGAGTGGCCCACTGCCCCCACATGCTCTGCTATGCTTTTTTTTGCATGGGTTTTTTGAACCTGGAATCTCCTGGGTCAACCCCCCTCCTGGGAGCTACCTTGCAGCGTGGAGAACAGCCGAATGTGTGGTATGTGACACCACAGACGTGTCTGCGGTGCCACATACCACACGGCAGCGCTTGTCTGAACGCAGCCTATGTGACTATCTCTTCACTACAGAGAACCCCAAATCCCTTACCAGCCACACCATTTACTCAGGATTAAATGTGCTGTGAACTCAGGCTTACCCAGTCAGGGATGAGGATGAGAGTCCAGGTTTTGTTTTAACTCAGGCTCTAACTCACCCACTTGCAGTGGAGTGAAGACTGAAACCCTGGTTATAGGACTCCCATGATGATAGACCTCTACAGCCCACTCATAATAATCACTTGGAAGAGCATTTCTCTTAAGAGGTTGGTGTAGGTGATGAAGTAGGGAGCAGGGAGGAAATACAAGGCCTGGAGACAATTGCTTATTGTAGGCATGCTAAAGCAGAGTTTTTTCAGAAGCCTAGCAATGCCTGTGGATGGCAAGATGAGTGAGGCACCCCTGATCCCTTCTCCCTTCCACACATGCACACAAACCTGAGCCTGCAACCCTGTGCGCCTTTTCCTCAACCTGGCATTAGCATTAGCAAAAGTCCCACTGGATGACCTGTGACTGTACCAAAGTATTTTTGAAGTCCTTGGGAACTCTGTTCATTTGCTGCTGATGGACAGGACAGATGGGATGTCAGAGGCACATCTGTTTTAAGCAGGCTTCCATGTTCTTGGTGAGCACCCCATGGATATTTGCCAAAACATTAGAACTTTCCTGGATGATGATGGTCAAGGAGAAACTGGGCAGAGCAAACTTTCCATAATTTGTGCTTTTGCTTTCTAGACCTCTCCAATCACTTATTTCCTCATCAGTCATAAGGGAACAAAACACCTCCCTGGCAGAGACAGAAGGCCTTCTACCAGCAGCATGGGAAAGTTGTTCCCTCCAGTTTTGGAATCCCAGCAAATTTATGTCTTCCAGGATTACCCCTGCTTGAAACGCGTCCTTTTATCTCTGCCTGCCATACCCAGGCCAATATATTTTTTTAAATACAAATAAGTAAGGGACACAGCATTTATCATTGTCTTGGTACCTTATAATCTTTGATGCAGTTGCTCTGAAAGAGTTGTACGCAGACATTCGGAAAGCCCGAGGCATAATCAGGTTAAGTTATGGAAGTTTCTGAAGCGGTGTAGGCTGGATTAGTAGTGAACAGAACACACATTTGCCCTTTGGTGGTGGGAGGGGGCACACAGGCTGCCTGTACTCGCAGGGGCCAGTAGGTTGGGGGTGCTCCTGCACACCTCCTAGCATGGCCCAGCTGAGTGCCTGGGCCACCCAACTGGCTACTGGGCATAGGCAAGCAAGTCGTTTCCCCCTTCCCACCGGAAGCTGTGTCTTCTGTCAGCCAAAGGCATCTGTCAGCAGCAGGCAGACAGAGCTTGGGGAGGGGGAAGAAAGGAGGCATCTGTGTTCTGTCATGAAGCACCCACACTGTACATACAGACCTGACACTGAGTCCAGGAGTACCCCTGTGAGCGGATGCAGCCCCACAGAGTCTGACTGGGCTATCAGGCATGGGTGAGTATGCTCCCCCTCCATGCTGCCTGACAGCTAGCCAGAGGCAGGAGGAGGCACTGTGGAAAGGGTCTGTGTTGACTTGGCTCTGTGAGAGCTTGGGGTGAGTGGGTGCTCAAAGCAGTCAAGTGTGGGGTGAGTGGTAGTGTGCCTCCCTGGAAGGGGAGGCTAGCAAGAGGCTGTAAACTAGCTTGGGACGCTGGCGGACAGTGACCTAACATGAATCAATTGGGGATCTGGTACAGAAGTTTGATTCACCAGTTTAACTTAATTTGATTAAGTTTGAGTGCACATCCATCCAGGTTTATCTTAGACTAGGTTCTGCCATTTTTAAACCTACAGATGCTGAACTGCTATTATGAGTATAGACTGGTTTCCAATTACCTATACCAGTACATGTGTAAAGTCTGTACCTGGCCATATTGTCTGCCTGAGATAATTAGCCCTGGTAGGAAGCATGGTATAATGGCAGGCTGATACAGGCATGCTGCTTGATACCTGAACATGTTAATTCAGAGCTAGCTTTAGTATTTCTACACAATTCTGCCTTGTACTGTTTAGAAACGCCAAAAAGGGTCAGGTGCAACTCACTACAAGACATGCAGCAGGACTTGGCCTGAAGGTTAGACCAACTTCTGGAAATGTAGAATAATCTAAGACAAGCTTCTGAGGAGGTTAGATTAGCAACAGACACATTGGGTAGTGCAGCAAAGTGAATCACTTCACTCCAATTAGTACATTTCCCGCCCCCCACTAAATCAAGGATGTGAGCCCACAGTCTCCCGTACTTTCCTTACTCTCCTGGACTCAGACCCAGTTGTCTGATGTGCACTACTTTCTTGTTGCTTTGTCCTGTGCCAGCACAATCTTCAACCAGACCTGGTGAAAGCCCCTTTGTAACGAACCTTACTTTGTAACAAACCATTTTGTGCATGTGTAGCACTCCAGCATCCATGAGTGTGTTTCAAAAGACCATACTAAAAATGGAGAAGGGGAGTAGGTGATATGAGGCTGTCTTGTCAGTGCCTTCCCTCTCCCAAAATAGTGGGTTCTCACTGCTACATTCATACATTCTCAAGTGCTTGAAATTCTATTAGTGTTTCATGCATAGCACAACCTACATTTCTAGTATATTGTAAGATGTGATGGCTGCTTTGAGAATATATTTAATCTAATGAAAATCAGCCTGACAGATGTTATTTTGAAGATGCAGAATTTCTTTAGTAAACAAAAAAAGCAAAAAAACCCCCCCTCATACTAAAATAGAATTCTTATACATGCTTGTACAATTACATTTAATGGACATGTTTATTTAACATTAAATAACAGTCAGGGAGGATCTTGTTTAAGGAACACAATTTTGTCAGGATCGTTTCGAGTACATGTAGCTTCTTTCATAAGGAACTCTAATTTGATTTTAACATATGGGGAAAAATCTCACATCTGTTAAGATGAGAGCATTCAAAGGGCTTATTCTGATTTTACCTATTCAGTGCTGTTAGGATTTGCACCTGCTAAACATCAAAATCCTTGCTGGGTTCATTTGCCCTGAAAGTATTTAAATAAGATACTGAATGTTATTATTCTATAATACTTAAACTTAAACAAGGTGTTTATTTGACACTGCAAGTAAATCACAGAGAAGACAGAATACTTGAAAAGACCACTAACCAGATGAAATGAAGTATTAATAATATACTAAAAGCTTCTGTCTTCATCCTGCAGGGCTTAAAATCTGTGAACTCCAGTCTCACAGACATACTGTAAAGACAAACCCTGAAGTTAAAAATTAATCAACTGAAAGCTCCTAGAGGCCGCTTAATAATACGTGAGCCAAGAGATTACTCATTCCGTATGTTTTTAAGGGAGAACTTAGAAAAGGCAGTAATGCATTACGGCATTTGAAGCCTGTAATACATGTTGGTAAGACAGTCAAATGCGTTTACAGAGTTAGTTAATTGGGAGATTGGAGTCTGAGGGAAATGGACATACAGACAAATTCTAACATGGCAGCAGCAGAAGGGCGCCCCCTCAAATCTCCACAGCAGAACCAGCTCATCCATGTCAGGTGGACAACCTCAGTTTAAGTAGTTGCTCCTAGTCAAATTTCCAGTTACACCTCTACTATTTTGAAAAGGAAGGTGTATTCTCCTTGGTTGGTATAGCCATTAATACCTGTACATTTACCCCCAATACAGCCATGCTTCTAGACATCTTTTGATACATCTTTTTGCTACCTAGGAGGGTATGCTATGCATTTATTTAAGCCATTGTAGAGCTGCTAATATTCTTGCTAATTTTACACACTTAACGCATCAGATAATGGTGAATGTCATGTTGCTTATTGCAAGATAACTAATTTTCTGCTCATGATTTGTATCTAACAGCTGTGATAAAACAGAAGTGAGATGATTCAGGTGGGCTCAATGGATGATCCTGATAAGATATAATATGGTGTCTTCTGGGGTTAAAGGCCAGGTCCTAATACCTGTTATGACTTAACCAGTCTCTTCCACTCGGTAGCACATCTTGTGTGGGACCAGGCCCTTCATCCAGTACATGACCTATTAGAACTAGGGGGTATCCACTGAAAGTAGTAGGTGACAGGTTTAAACACTAACAAGAAACAATATTTTTTTATGCAATGCATATTTAACTTATGGAATTCATTACCTTAGAAGGTGGTGGAGACAGATAGCATAGCCACGGTCAAAAAAGGGACTGGATAAATTCATGGATGATAGATCTATTAATAGCTATTGAACAGAAGTGTTGGAGATGCTTCCTCTAGCATCTCTAAACCAATAATGGTGGATGCCAGGGAAGATACCGAATAGGGAATGGATCACTACAGAGATCCGGCTCAGTGCTCTTCCTCTATAGAGGGTACAAGTTGAGGCCTTAACATATGTTGGATTAAAGCTAGATTTAATTTTAATCAGGTCCAAGTTTTAAAAGGAGAAGCTCATAGTTGAAATAACAAAATGTTTTACAAATCAATTTAAAATAAAAACTGATTATTTTAATAATCAGTATTTATCACGCCTCATATGCTTATGAAATCTGTGATAAAAATATGATTACAATCTGTGATAAAAATACTACGGTTAGTTAAGACTGGGAAAGTTTGTGAGAAATTGCAAACTGAACTTTCAGAGTGAGGTGACCAAGAAATGCAGTGAGAGATAAATTCACAGCAGATACATGAAACGAACTTCATATTGGAGGGAATAATTTGAGCTACTTATCTACAAATAGAAGGGATATCTAGATAATTATCAGAAGCCTGGAGAGCCTTCCATAAGTGGGGAGAAGGACAAGATTAGGACTGTTTAGGTCTTGAGATCATTGAGAGAAGATTGAAAAAATAGGACAACAGAGGGTAACATTAATTATTTAAATATTTACTTAAATTAACGATAATATTTACTTAAAATAATGAACACTGTTGCTCCTATTTACTGTCTCTCCTTTTGCAAGAAGAAAGGGAAACTCAATGAAATTAAAAGTCAGGACATTTGAAACTGGAAAAAAAGAAATATTTTCTAGGTAGGACACAGTCTGCCTCCTGCAAACAAGGTATTATTAAAACCAAGGTTAGGAAGACTTAAAAGCAGAATGAACACATCCAAGTCACACAGCAGCTAGGATAAAAGAATGTAAAAGGTGAATAAACCCTCATGTCATAGGACATTATTTAACCTTAGACAGAGTGGAACTTGGAATAAACTGCCTCTGTGCACAAATTTAAACTTTTATGCAATTCTTCCTGGTTTCTGCTGAAATACCACAAGAAGCTATGTTTCGATATATCCTTATTACTACCCTAAGTC